GTGGCTGTTCAATGCCAAAACGACGCTGGCCGGAGCCGGGGTGATGCCATGAAACTTGCCGAAGGTGAGGGCATAAGGCCTTGTAAAGAGATCTGGGGATGCTATGCGGGGGCAAGGGACAGCTGGGGGTTGCTGACACAGGACAACACTGGTCGGAGCTGGAGTGAGTCGCGTTGCTCTGTAACCTAGCAGATAGGGGGCGTGAGGCCTGAATGAGTTTGTCAGAGAATAAGTCAGTTTTAGTGAGCTTTGTTATGATCTGTTGGAAATCCCTTAGATACTCGAGTGTTCGGAAAACCGCGGTGGATTTCAGGAGGTGTTTAGCGATCATAAAAAAAGATTCGTAGTCTTCTCATCATCTATCCCCAAGTCCAGTAGCTTGTTCACGATCTTGGAGGATACTCTCAAAGCTGAAACCAGGTAAACGACCCCGGTATCTCAATTGGTTCATAAATTGTTTTGTACATGTCTTCATATGGGACGTCGGGCCCGATTCCCAGTACGTGCTGCTCCCCACGAATAGATTGGAGCATGTTTTCATAAAAAAAAAAAAAAAAAAGGAACCCTTGAGCGCCCTAAACAACTCTTCGAGCCTTGTGAAGAACAACGAAATCATCGAGGTATCTTATTAGTATAACTCGGCCTTCGGCCGCCTGTTGCTGAGCCCACTCATTCAAAGCATTCTCCATTCCGTGCAAAGCAACGTTGGCCAGTACAGACGATATAACTTGAGGCTCACCAGAGTTATATATAGTTATAGGCGGCCGAACGACGCCTTCTGTCGGGGACCCAGCTCTTGCGGTCCCTTTGGCACGCGTCCCCAGGTTTTGGGGTAGTAAGTCTTAATTACCACCCCACCAATAAATAGTTACAAATAGAAATAACCAAACCACATTAACAAAATGCCAATACCAAGCGGCAGCTTCAAACCCGAAATAATGTCTTCGAGTAAAATGACCCATGTCCTGACGAACACAACACATAATAAGAAAAGCGGTTCCTACGATGACATGAAAGCCAGCTACATATTCCATTCCTGGAAATGCAGTAAAAACTAAAGCTAGAAGAATAGTGGCTAATATGCCATAAAGGGCTTGTTGTTTTAAACCAGCTAATATAGCATGACGAGCCCAAGTTACAGCAGCTCCATATGAAAGTAGAATAAGAGTATTTAGAAAGGTGATTTCCCAACGATCTAACACATCAATACCTTTTGGAGGCCAAATAGCTCCAATTTCTACGGTAGGCGCCAGACTTGAATGAAAGAAAGCCCAAAAAAAAGGTACAAAAAAACATTACTTCTGACACAATGAACAAAATCATACCATAACGAAGTCCCACTCGAACCACTGATGTATGATATCCTTCGTAGGTGGATTCACGTATTACATCACGCCACCATACAAACATGGAATACAAAATCATTCCAAAACCTAAACTAAGGCACATTCCCACATCTTTTAGGGGCATTTTGGAATATATCTCAACTTATACTGGTATTTCGCAAATTATCCCTTCCTTTTTTTTCCTTCTTTTTCTTACCAAAGTTTTTTCCCTTGCCGTGGAAACCTCCCTTTCGAAATCCAGCAGCCTAGCTCAGTTGGTAAGGCAAGCACGTGGCATTCAGGAGGTCTTGGGTTCGATTCCCATTGACCTCATGTACCTTCCTGGGCAAGCTTGGTGCCCGCCACCTATTACATAGGCCGTTGGTCCCCCCCAGTGGCATTACCAGAGACTGCTGATGTTCATATGGGGAGGGGACCGAAGGGGAGGCACAGCGACTAGCCCATCGAAGAAACTCGGTCCTGATGCTACCGACTGACCCCTTGCCGGTATCGCCCACCTGCTGTGGCAGGTATCGCACCTGCTGGTAACTGCAGCTCCCGCATGTTCCTCGTTGGAGGCTGATGTGGCTGCTACGGGGTTCCCCGTAATACTATAATGACAATTGAAAAAGGCCTGAAAGGCCGTCCTGTCCAGATTTGACAGGTAATTGAATTGGTTGGGCCACTAGTACCTCCGCCAATGTTGGGAAAATAGGGAAAAGTGGACGTTTTCCCAAACTCCTAAAATTTCGGAGGTTGGGCCCGACGATGGCGGCCATTGATAAATCTGTCGTTTCGTTTCAGCCCACCCGAGGCCCACTATTTTCCCACGCGGCAAAGGTACTAGTGGTCCTTCGGGACATCCGTTGAAATTGGAACGATACAGAGAAGTCTTTTCCTCTCTCTTTTTTTTTTTAAAACACAGAAGATTAGCATGGCCCAATTTTTTTTATGACTTTTCTTCTTTTATTTAACCAAACCTACCTTTCTGTAAGCAAATGAAGACGCGTGTTCTCCATCCACGAAGATGTGGAAGCCGTCGAATCCTGCCCTTATCGTGCACACAAACAGCTTTCCATCTTCGAACGGGAAGTAGCGCTCCTTGGAGCTAACTTTGCCATTGGACACTGTGTAGCGCTCCATCAGGGCACCGGAGGATGTGTCCCCTGAGTCCGAGTCGCTATTGCTCAACCGTGGCTTCAGTCTTCCAATCCATTTCTCGCATCGCGGCAACCCTTCGACTGCATCCAGGTCATATGGATTTAGAAAAAAAGGGGGGTAACTTCAGTACAGTCACAAAAAACAGTTTGAAATTACACCTCAGGCATTCACCCGAACATAACACAGCCCCACACAAAACCCTACCTGACCGGAAAGCTAGCTTGTCCACATTGCCCAAAGTGCAATTTGAAGCTGTTTTTTGCCCCAAGTGTATTTTCAAACCCTTTTTGTGACTCCAGCGTAGTCGCCCCCACCCTCCCCCCCCCCAAAAAAAAGAAAAAAAGAAAAGGGTGTGGTATGGCAGGAGTCAGATCCACGGCAAGATCTTTGGCTAAGCCTTTTTGATGGCAAGTGATTTAGGAGGAAAAGGGGAAGGAGGGGGAGGAGGCGGAGGAGGCGGAGGAGGCGGAGGAGGAGGTTTGGTGCAGTCAGAGTAAAACCCTGGAGTCAATATAGTTGTATTGCCTAGTCTCTTTAGGGTTTTAGGGTTTTAGGGTTTTACTGAAGAAGAAGAAGGAGGAGGAGGGGGAGGAGGAGGAGGAGGGGGAGGAGCTATATTTGTATTGCCTAGTCTCCTTAGGGTTTTACTGAAGAGAAAGAAAAAGGAAAAGAAAAAGAAGAAGAAGAAGAAGGAAAAGAAGAAGAAGAAGAAGAAGAAGAAGAAGAAGAAGGAGCAGAAGAAGGAGGAGGAGGAGGAGGAGGAGGAGGAGGGGGAGGAGGGGGAGGAGGGGGAGGAGTTTTTTTTTGCCCTCAGAGTAAAACCCTGTAGTGACATATAGTTGTATTACCTAATCCTTTAGGGTCTTACTGAAGAAAAAGAAGGAGAAGAAGGAGAAGAAGAGGAGGAGGAGGAGGAGGAGGAGTTTTGCCGTCAGAGGAAAACCCTGTAGTGACATTTGGCCCCACCGACCTGCTGTAGCTCAACATATTCATGAAGGGCTGTGTGACGCATTTGGAGAAGTAAGGAAAGTAGCATCGTGACGAATAAAGAGGAGGAGAAGGAGGAGGAGGACGAGATGGGTGGAGAACGGAGCGAATTTTTTTCTTTCTTAAATACCAGCGCTCTGCAGCAGATGAAATACGGCACGAAGGAGAAACGAAATAGAGTTAGGATTAAAAAAAAAAAAAGAAACAACACAGAAGAAAAGAAAAAAACACTGGACAAATAGGACAGAGAGAGAGAGAGAGAGAGGTTAAAGAGACTGGCAACTCAGCCGATCAAATCATTGGTTGGTTCATGGATGGGGCAACAAAAAGGTGGTTGCGGAAACATGAAGGAAGGGGGGGGGAGAGAGAGACAGACGCAGAGCGAGAGAGAGAGAGAGAGAGAGAGAGAGAGAGAGAGAGAGAGAGAGAGAGAGAGAGAGAGAGAGAGAGAGAGAGAGGGGGGGGGAGAGAGAGAGAGAGAGAGAGAGAGAGAGAGAGAGAGAGAGAGAGAGAGAGAGAGAGAGAGAGAGAGAGAGAGAGAGAGAGAGAGAGGGAGAGAGAGAGAGAGAGAGAGAGAGAGAGAGAGAGAGAGAGAGAGAGAGATGGGAGAAGAGAGGAGAGGAGAAAGAAGGGGATAGAGGATAGAGAGAGTGACAACTCAGCCGATCAAATCATTGGTTGGTTAATGGATGGGGCAACAGAAAGGTGGTTGTGGAAACGGAGAGAGAGAGACACAGACAGACACAGAGAGAGAGGGGGGGGGGAGGAGAGGAGGAGAAGAGCGACAATTAAAAAGGAAGGGGATAGAGGATAAAGAGAGTGACAGCTCAGCCGCGCACATCATTGGTGGATTCATGGATGGGGCAACAAAAAGGTGGTTGCGGAACCGAAATACACCAATCCGAAAAGAGAGAGAGAGAGAGAGAGAGAGAGAGAGAGAGAGAGAGAGAGAGAGAGAGAGATGGGACGAGGGGAAGAGAGATAAGAAAGAGGACAGACGTTATAAAGGATAGCACAGAATGACAGCTTAGCCGATCAGAGCATTGTATCAATTGGTTTACTCGTTCATGACACTGCAAGGTAGCTATGCAACAGATATATGCACCCACTTGCGCGCGCGCGCGCGCGCGCGCGCGCGAGAGAGAGAGAGAGAGAGAGAGAGAGAGAGAGAGAGAGAGAGAGAGAGAGAGAGAGAGAGGTGAACAGACGATTGTGAGGATTTAGACAACTGACCTAGGTCGTTGCTTTGTGAGGGGACACCGCCGCATCGCTCCGCCCTTGCCCATCGTCCTCGAAATCCTATATTGTGTTCAAGAACCGGTCGTCCGCTCCAATCCCCTCTTAACCGAGGGTTAAAATGGAAAATTCTTGGGGGTTCTTCCCCACCGTAAAACCTTAACCCAAGTAGTTCAATGATAAATTGTCTGGCCGGTCCTCCATCCTTCCCCTGAGGCTTGGCTGTGATCGTTATCGTCGAGCCCACTACCATTCCACAAGGAATTCGAACGATCCGCTTCTCAGGATCAATGTCTTCAGCCATTGTCAGCACGGAAGAAGGGCACGGTTCTTTACTCCCAATTGAGGCAAACTTCCTCCCTCCTCCTCCTCCTCCTCCTCCTCCTCCTCCTCC